AAAAAAAAAATTAGGTAATTAAAAGACCAATACCAGGTGTGGTGCGTCAGTGCCTGTGAATCCCAGTACTTTGGGAGGCTTGAGGAGGGCGGATCATGCTTGAGGTCAGGGGTTCAAGAGACCAGCCTGACCTACGTGGAGAAACCGCCTGTATTCTACTAAAAATACAGAATTAGGCTGGGCATGGTGGCGCATGGCTCGGTTGTTACATTTTTATCCCACGTACTCGTGAGGCTGAGGTAGGAGAATCGCTGGACCTGGGGAGGCGGAAGTGTGCGGGTAGCAGGATCGCCCATTGCCACTCCACCGCTGGGCAACGAGGAACAAAATTCCGTCTCAGAAAAAATTAAAAAATAAAAATGGACAAAAACAATTAGCGGATTGTGGTGCGCGGAGCCTGTAAATCTCAGCTAGCTCGGCTGAGGGCTGAGCAGAGAATCGGTGAACCCGGTGACGGTGGGAGTGTGCAGTGAGCTGTGAGATGGCATCATTGCACGTCCAGCCAGGTGAGCGAGGCGTAGGAGACTCCATCTCAAAAAAATTTTTAAAAGTAACATAATAGGCGGGCACGGTGGCTCAAGCCTGTAATCCCCCCAGCTACTTTGGAGCACAGACGGTGGATCACGAGTTCAGTGAGATCGAGACTATGCCTGTAGTAACCCGTGAAAGCCCCCCCGCGTCTTTACTAAAAAAGGTACAGAGTAAGACTGAGCCGGTGTGATGGGTGGGTGGGCGGGCGGTATCCAGCTACTCGGGAGGCTGAGGGCAGGAAGAATGGCGGTGAACCAGAGGCGGCTGTGAGGACTGAGATCCCGGCCCACTGCACTCCAGGGCCTGGCGGACAGAGCGAGACTCCATCTCAAAAAAAAAAAAAAAAAGTAAATAATAATAATAATATAATAATCTAGGCGCGGGCGTGATGCGCTCCACACCTGTAATCCTCAGTCACTTTGGTTGAGCGGATGCGGTTCAGATCACGCGAGGTCAGGAGATTTGAGGACCAATCCTGTCTAACACGGTGGGAAACCCGCGATCGTCTAGTAAGAAAAATACAAAATTCATAGCTGGGCATGGGTGGCGGGCACCTGTGAGTCCAGGCTAGGCTCGGAGGCGTGAACGCAGGAGAATGCTGGTGAACCGGGAGGGAGAGCTGTAGCTGAGCCGAATCGTGCCACTGCACTCCGAGCCTAAGGCCAACGAGAGGCGGAGACTCCGTCTCAAAAAAAAAGTAAAAAAAAGGCCGGGCGCGGGGCTCAAGCCTTAAGTCCCAGCACTTTGGAGGCCGGAGAGGTGGAGCATGAGGGTGCAGGAGGATCGAGGAGCCATCCTGGCAAACACTCGGTGCGATAACACCCCGTCTCTACTAAAAGAATAGCGTAAAAAAAACGGTACGTGCGGGCGCGTGGCGAAGTGCGCGGGCGCGCTGTAGTCCCAGCTACGTCGGGGGAGGCTGAGGCTAGGAGAATGGCGTGGACCGGGAGGCGGACTTGCGAGTGGAGCTGAGATCCGGCACAGCTGCACTCCAGGGCCTGGGAGACAGAGCCGGAGACGTCGCGTCTGGCAAAAAAAAAAAAAAAAAAAAAAAAATTAGGTCCGGGCGCAGTGGCTCAGAGCCGGTAATCCCAGGCACTTGTAGGGATGGCCGAGATGGCGGATCACGAGAGTCAGGAGAGTCACAGGACCATCCTTGGGCTAACAGCGGGGTGAAACCCCAGAGGTCTGTTCTACTAAAAAATACAGAAAGGAATACCGGGGAGGTGGCGGGGGCGGCCTGAGGTCCCAGGCTACTCAGGGAGG